CAGGCGGGTCATCTCCTCTGTAAAAATTCCAACCTTTTCATTTGGTAGCTGAACCCGGGTTTCTAGTAGAGCAGCGGCCCTCTCTTTGCGTGCGACGCTCGCGAACGTTTGCAGAAATGCGCCGCAGAAAACATCCCACGTTCGGAGCGTGGACTCCCAATTTTCTAGCCAGGTCCTTGCGGTGTCTTCCAGGTAGAAGTACACACGACGGAGCTTTTCTTCGTTGTCCCAGTGGTTGAGGGCGGCCACATGGTCGTATGTTTCTAGCCAGGTTTCCGGGTCTTCAAACGATGACCCATGAAACGTTGGTGGTTCCCTGGGTTGATGAATGACGATCGCGGGCTGGGACGCTCCGGTTGTCATAGTCGCTGCAGTAGAGGTCATGGCCTTGGCTTTCCGCGCCTTGTCTTGTAGAAGCCCGTACTCTGGTGGGAGACCTTGCTGTCGGCGGCTTGTTCGCTGCTCTGGGTTGGCGTCGGTGTCTTCGCGACGTGGGCTGGGTTCACGGCTTGACGGGGGCGTCCGGTACATGAACGAAGCAGCACCTCCACCAGATGTCACGGGGTCGTGACGTGGCCGAAGACAGGAGACTTCGTGTCGGGATTTAACTGTTTATTTGGGCGAACCTGTGCCCGGTAAACGGAAAGTCCAATTACAGCAGCAGTCTCGCACAGATAGCAGTCTCGGACTGATAGCGGCGAACGGAGCGTCGGCCTTCGATCAACAACAACTGGCAAGCGGCGAAGCGCGTCGGCATTTATACTCTTGCCATCGAATGTTCTAGCGTTATCGCTGGCGGTGGCGTAGGTTCCAGAACAATCGGTACCGTTCACACAGTGGGCGTGATCTTATCGAAATGATCTACTACAGTCCGGAACCTTCTGGAAAACTGCAGGCGCAGTTTGCGCTGAGAATCGTGTGGTGTTTTGGGACGATAACGAAAACTTGGGAAATGGAACGTGGCAATATTGAAAGGAGGTATTATTACGCTTGTGACAAAAGGATTCTAGCATTCCTCCTTACTCGAGACACGTATATCGGTGAAAACTGGGCAAATTATCGTCGTTGAATTACATTGCCCTCCTATCATTAGAGATCGTATTACTATTTTATCGCGTACCGATATTTATCAGGTGATCAACGGAATTCCACTTACGCTCTAGATACTCAGGTGCCATGATCAAGCCACTTATTACTGTGATAAGTTATTTGGCCGGAATATTGTGAGCTGCTAGGATTACCCGACCTACACTTACTCCCCACGTCCTTGACAGTGAAAGTGCTTGAGGGATCATCGTCTCCTTTTTTCGTCATCTGTCTTTGGATTATGTTTTGGTAGCAAAATGGCAATATCAGTATTGCGTTCATTTACAGTAATCTCGACTGCGACCAAACCAAAGGGTCACACATGCGGCCGAACGGCGTCGTAAGCCAAGTATGAGTCGAGGTAGACTACCGGAGAATAAAAAGTGGGAATTGTCACTGCTATGTAACGCTCAGTGTTTATCACCAGAGACACAAAACTCTGAACGCGTGCGGCGTTTTTTTCCAACAAGCAAAACATCTCGGTGTTCGTTCTTTCATTCCCCAGCATTTCGACAGAACAGCGTAGAACTCGCAGTGTGAATGGGCGACCATAAGTGACCAAAGCGCACCTGTAATCAGCCCGTGGTCTTCGCAGAGCCGGTGGCGTATAGACCTTCTCCGTGTCTCCTGCTTCTTCGGTGTCACGGCAGATAGTTGAAAAGAGAAACTGCGGAAGCCTCGCGGGCAAATGCGAAGCGTTTTACGCTTTGAGAGCATGGCTTTTGCGCCAGACATGACGGCGTCGGGAAATTGCGAGGAGAGAGCGAGACAGCTACTGATGCTAAGCGCCGAGTTTCATCGGCTCAGCGACCGTTCCTCACCGGCGGGTGTTATTTCTTCGTAACGTGCTCATGCTGAGGCGTTCGAGTGCTTACCTAGCGTGCATGAGTCACTGGCATTCTGCATAGAGGACACAAAATTTTAGAGTGGCGGTCAAAATAATGTTTAATTTAATTGTAGTGATTTAATAATTAAGTTGCCAACTGGTTACGGTTCATACAATTGATGCCATATCAATGCTGTAGTTTTTTCCTGTTAAAGAAAGTGATGTCAGGTCTCACTTCTTCCATTTAATTTCAGGAATATGTCATACCGATGCGTGCCCTTCTGCACATGAGACAGAGGGGAAAAATTGGGCACGAGAGGCCAGCATGCGCAGTGGTGGCGTCAACGGCGCCACTGACGCCTGATTTGCAAGTTGGTGTGATTAGGAAGCGCTATGCATTTAATAAAAACAGAGAGCCCAGTCCACCAGCGAAATCAGAATGCCGCATTCTGCGCTCACGGGTTACACGCAAATAAATGGGTCACATATTTGTTCCTTTCCTGGAACTGCCCCTGATTTAAATTGGATGCTGTTTAGAAAATTATAACAGGCACGCTGACGCAATCAAAGCAGCGTTGTGTAGCGTGACGTGGTTCGATTGCTTTTAGGAACGAAGCATTTTACAGCATAACTTGGTCGGTCGTCCTTCTATCCAGCGTAGCCAGAATATCCACGGAGTGAATGATGTGACGAGTAGGGCGAAGTTCCCATCCATCCGATGCGTGCTGTAGTATGATAGGAGACGACGGGCGCATGGACAAATGAACGCGCGGACGGACGGATGAAGGGCAGGACGCATCACCCCACTAAACATTCACCCCGTGCATATGCTGTAATTTTGTTTATGTATCCCTCGCGCGCCGAACAGCCCTTTGCTTGTCGTTGACAAGTCCCCCCGAACGCTCCTCATATATAGGGAAGACTAGTTGTGGCGAGCACAGCTGGACGTCCGGCGTGTTATCCTAAGAAGCGAAGAACGTTTCTAAGAAGCAATAAAACCACGTCGTGGCGCAGCTGTGATGACATTGGGGCGTCTAAAGAATATTCGAAACAGCGTTACAATGAAAAGCAGCGCTAGATCAATGAGAGCAAGAATTCATTCACTCAAGTCAAAAAAGTATCCATAAGCGTAATATGCTGCAGTCGTCTGACCTCGCTTGCGGATCGGACTGCCATTGTTTTTTTCTTCGCCGGCGCCCCCCCCCCCCTTCTATGCAGCCCACGAACTTCGAAGTATAGTTTCGAGCACATGCGGATCTCTTGCAGATGCATCGCAATTTTAACTGTTTTAATATGGGTGGTGTCAATCTACAGCAAAATGATAACCTCTTCGAAAACAAAACACCCCAGCATTCCTCTCGTGCTCCTTGATCCGACATTTCCAAACAAACACAAATTTATGTAGAAGCGCAAAACCATTTTTTTTCTCGCCACATAAAAGCTTCGCCGGCATCGCGGTAGCCTTTTGATGATGATGATGATGATCTCTGTGGTCTTCCCCTTTATACCGGGGGGGGGGGCACCTTTTAGTGTCCTGACCGGAACGAGAAAAAAAAGGAAAGAAAAATCACACCAGGTCCATGAACATCACAATTGTTCACTGTCTCCTTGACCACCACTGTAGAAGCCTTGCTTTGGTTATTGCTGTCGCTGCCAGGGGGTGCACGTTGGTATCGCGGCTGTCGCCTCCCGGTGCGCCGCAGTCTTTCACACAGCCGAGTGGATGGATGGATGGATGTGGCTGTACCCTTTAGATCAGGCGGCGGCTAACGCCACCTAGCCGTAATACTTTCAACCGAAAAGAAAGAGCGCTCTTTCTTTCGGCCGAAAGAAAGAGCGCCGCGGTGCGGAGACAAGAGCGGGCTACGCCCACCTCTGGCAACACACGCTCTACGTGCTTTTGAAACGGCCGGAAGGAAACCCGCCGTGCGCCCACAATCTCGGAGGCCATGTTCCGAGCATAAGTTGTTTAGTGTTTAAAAGAGAGAAACCACCTCCCTTAAAAGGAAGTGATCGCTGCTCAAGGAACAGCAAAAAGAGTGTGGGACGCTTGCCTGATACCTCCCTCTCCTCGAGAAAGAATTCTAGCCCACGGCGCAGTTGTAGTAGTTGGTTTTTGAAGTTGAGGCGAGAAAGCGTAGCTCAGGAGCCAGACGATAGTTACAGCACGAGAACAAAACGACGACACAAAGACAAGAAGGACACAAAGGACACGAGCGCTCGTGTCCTTCGTGTCCTTCTAGTCTCTGTGTCGTCGTTTTGTTCTCGCGCTATAACTGTCGTCATGCCATACGAACTAGCCCAAGCTGCCACACTTCAGGTGCCAGATTCGCTGACAGGGCTTTCAAAAAAATTCTACCATATTTTCCATGGAAATTTTTCTCCAATGTTCTGCGATACCTAAATTACATGAACTATCGATAATCCCTTCTCTGTCCGAGGAACTCGCCATAACAAATAAGAAATGGGGCACCATGTGCAACTGGAACCCTGTTGTGCAGATTGAGCGGCATAATACGTCTACTACGATGTTCTGTAGTTACGAATGGGGGCGATGATCTAATTGAATGGTGGCAAATGCCGCAGCAAACCTGTAGAGCTGAAATAATGAAAAGCTCGCGCAGCAAACAAAAAAACACGAGGTACACGCTCGGTCCTTTTTACAGCGACTTGCATATAAGTAAAATAAGTTGTCCCGCATCCAACGTCTGCCCTGTGTGCATTGTGAAAATACAAAGAACTGCAATATAAATCATGCTGATATTCATCATGCATGTCACAAGATTGCATCGAAACGTAAGTGGCAATATCTACTAGAAGCGATCTTTTTGAGGTGAAATCTAACATGTTAGCCTTGAGATAGAGAGCGAGATGGGCAAGAGCTTTTGTTTTTGCGTAATGCCAGGGGACGAAAAATACTGCTAGTTGATCATAGTTTGACAGCCCCTTGTGCAAGCAGTGACCTATCAGTTGTTTATAAGCTTGTGAAAAACGCTCACAGTATCGGTGCCAAAATTACATCGGCATCATGTGCAGATTGTCACTATAAGAGAGCGTACCCTTCTTAATATGCTTTATTTTACGGCAGTCAGTCTCGGCCACTGTCTTCAAGATCCGGCAAACCTTTCCAAATTGCATTCTCTTCACAGGCCCTGATAAACTTCTTGAAAGACAGGGGCTTGTCATGGCCCGAGCCGTCAGGTCCGGTGCCTACCTCTAGGACTCTTCAGGTGCTGCTGGATTTATCTCTCAACTGGGCTGTGGACATATGGTTCCGCTTGGCCGTCTTTAGAGAAAACGCCCGTAACAAGTTCTACTTCAGGTACGCCCCCTCAAAATATTTTATTGATTTGTTGATGATCGGTGCATTAAAATGCCATCTAACAGCCGTCCATGACTATGTACGCATACATAGTTTGTTTTTAAAAACCTTGACCAAGATATCACCATTCTGCCCCCCCCCCTCTTGGGGGTACGTCTGAGCGCCCTTTTGCAAAGGGGAAGAGAGTATAGCAGAAAAAAAAAACAATTAGAGCGCATCCACAGAGTGAATGATGATGTGTGGGGTGAAGCGTGCGTCAGTTCGTTTTTGTGTCCATCCGAGCGTACGTCCGTTTTTATACCTGTTTGTCTAACTGTCTGTCTATCCGTGTGTCCATCCATCCATCCGTTCGTTCATTCAGCCATCTATTCAACACTCCAAGTACCGCCATCTCGCATCTTTTCATCATATATTCATTATATACAAATACCGCCATACATCGGACATTCTGAGGACTGAACGAGAGATAGCTACTATTACAAACAAGTGACGTACGACCCACGGCGTAAGAAGCTTCACCCCATACAAAAAAAAAAGAGATAGAAACGCTGCGTTTGGTCTGCTGAGGTAAAACTGGGCTATCAGCTATATCCCAGCACAAAGGCCGCGAACTCCCCGAATTCTTCTAGGGTATACGCAATTGTGATAGCACAGAAAGCGAATGTCCTCCATAGTCATTCTCATTAGTCGCAATATTGGGCTTTTGCTGGACATCTTGCGTCATTTCGCGCATGCAGTGAGGCAAGATAACATGTAATATAGCGCTAGCGCGTAGCAGGATCGGTAGCATGCAAATCCCACGCCGAGAGATATGGTACCGCAAGCCAGGCACTAGCGGTACACATGACATGCGAGGAGTAAGCCAGCGTAGTAGTACTCTTTTGAGGATGGGAGAGGTAGTGTTGGTCTGAGCTTGCGACTGGCTGGTGTGGATTGGTCCATATGATTCGGCACCAGTTGGCCCGCCACCAGTTGGCGGGTGTATAATGACGGCTGTAGTGAATGACGAGTCGGGTGTGCGAGCAGTTCCTTCTAAGTGAGCTCCAGGAGGAACGCATATGAACGCTTTAACAGCAGCTCGTTGTTTGCATGAGATCAGAGGAGAATCAAGAACAGCTGGGACCTTCGGAGGGGCATCAATTGTGCTTCCGGAAAGCGAACTATGCAAGCCATTCTCAGCGACGCTGCTGTACAAACTGCAGTGCAGAAATACACCGACAGCAAAAGCGAAGTGCTGCGAGTTCACAGTCGTCTGAGCAAATTTTCTTGAACATATCCCCTTCAGGCGCAGCGTCCACATTTGTGGACGCCAACTTCACAGCTCAATATCTCGAAATTTACTTTGAATCTCGCGCGCAACCAGTGCTCTCTCTATCACTACATGTTGCTGCAGCGACCCGTGGCGCCATCTGCCGCAGCTGACACAAAATAACTACAAAAACAACTCTCAAAGATGGACGCCTCCACGTTTTACGGCGGCGCACGTAAGTGGCTCTCACTTTTCAAGCCCTTGCTATGTTTCATTCGAGGTGGCATGAAATTATGCACTTGTCAGTAAGAGCTAAGAGATACCTCATGCCAATAAACAAGACTTTTGCAACTAGAAACTATTTATAACGTCAAAAAGGGTGCGTAAAATACCGCGTCCACGATCGTGGACATTGCGCCTTAGTGCTGCCTTTGTTGCAGGGCAGCCATTTCGCACCGTGTGCGCAGATATGATGGTTATGTGTGATTTTTTGTCTCCAGGACTTGAAGATCATGCTTCAAAACGTCAGAAAGTTGATGATGCGACAGCAGAAGAAATCCTCATGAGAATATCAAATGGAGATATCTCAGATGGCGACTTTTCAGATGACGAATTGGAAGCAGAAAATGAAGAAAACATAGTAAGTTTGCTCGAGATTGTGAGACATTATTTTGTGTTCTCGGGAAACATATGGCACCAAACTGTCTAAAGGTACTTTGACCCTAATTTACGCTGTTTGTTTCAGCCTGCCAATGGTCAGGTGACCGCATCCACGACCACAGCTGCACTGCCTGCACGACCAGACGCCACGGTCAGCTCGAACGCACCTGCGGCATCTACGAAGGCTGAGTTCAAATGGGTGAAGAAAGATTTTGCTCCAAGTGATGTTGACTGCCACTACAATCCTGAAGTAGCCTCGACATGCCAGCAGCCACTTGTGTATTTTAGCAAGTATTTCACCGAACAGATATTTGAAGACCTTGCTGAATTCACAAACAGGTATGTCCTGCAAAGAGACGGTGCCGTATTAGCCACTACAAAAGAAGAGATCAAAATATTTTTTGGAATGCTCATGCTGATGGGTGTTCTGAAATACCCACGCGTCAGAATGTATTGGCAAACTGCAACGAGGATTCCCGCAATAGCCGATTCGATGGGCGTGAAGCGATTCTTCAAAATCAGAGGCGCTCTCCACATAAGCGACGCTAATGAAGAACGGGACCCGAACAGCCAAGACAAATTTTGGAAAGTTAGGCCGTTGCTAGAAGCTGTCAGAAGCCGCTGCTTACAGCTTGTTCCCTTGGAACAGAATAGCATCGATGAACAGATGGTGCCGTTCACAGGACGCATTGCTGCAAAGCAATTTGTGAAAGGAAAACCGAACCCAGAAGGCGTGAAGGTTTTTGTACGCTGCAGTTTTGACGGTCTTGCACATGACTTTGAGTTTTACCAAGGGAAGGGAACGGGAGTGAGCAAAGAACATGCACATCTTGGCCTTGGTGGCTCCGTCGTAATGCGCCTTGTTGAAAGCCTCCCGAAGGCACAGAACATCAAGTGCTACATGGACAATTATTTTACGTCCGTGAAGCTCTTTCTTGAGTTAAAAAAGATCGGCATTTTGGCTAGTGGCACAATTAGGGGAAACCGCTTGGCAGGATGCGTCATGAAAACAGACAAGGAAATGAAGAAAGAAGGACGGGGAAGCTATGATGAGCGGGTTTCCCAGAACGACGAAGTTGTCCTTGTTCGTTGGCAAGACAACGGGACCGTCAACATGGCTTCTACCCACCTTGGAGTTGGAAATATTGGCACCGTGAGAAGATGGAGCGAATCCCAAAAGGTCCACGTTGACATTGACTGTCCAGAGGTAGTCCTGGACTACAACAAATACATGGGTGGAGTAGACAAACTAGACTTCATCATGTCCCTCTACCCAATGCGGACGCGAACGAAAAAGTGGCCTGTGAGAGTGATTTCCCATTTTGCATCTTTTGCGCTCTCCAACAGTTGGCTTGAATACTTAAGGGATGCCAATAAAGCAGGGCTACTAAGAAAAGAGACACTGGACATGATGGCGTTCCAAACAGACGTCGCGAATTGCCTGCTGAACAGCAATAAGCCACAAAAGAAGCGTGGACGTCCGAGCAATGACAACTCCCGAACAGTGAAAAAGAAGGTACCCAATGCTTCACCACTACCAGTCAGCACTGTTCGCTATGATGGGATTAATCATTGGCCGCAGCAAGTAAACATGGCTAACGCACAACGCTGCCGGAGAGAGGAATGCACATCCAAAAGCCGTGTCCGCTGCAGGAAATGCAACATTTTCCTTTGTCTGACATCTCAGAACGACTGTTTTTATTTGTTTCATACCAAATAGACTCTTTCTGATTATTTTTGCGGAAAAGACTTCCTAAGCAGTGTTCCTGCAATGATTATTTGCGAGCCTCCGAAATAAAAGCGTTTGTTTTCTTCTTCTCCACCGTTCATGGGTATTGCAACAAGGAAAGCGAGATGTAAAATATGTATTTACTAGAGCCTATACAACAGGCAGTATGGCGAAAAACCCACGCACAAGCCATGGCGCACCTTCGTCGTCTTCCTTTCCCTGCGTCTTCGTGCGCGCGCTTGGGTAACGGTCACGTGACAATATGACTGCTTTGAGGCGCAATGTCCACATATGTGGACGCCATTGAAAAATTGAACCAATGAATTTTTTTCTGAATTTCTTGTGGATTCCTTCTTTAATAGCGTTATGTATTCATAATCTGAACAAAATTTTTTTTTCGCTACGTCAGATTTAATTCGCGCCTGAAGGGGATATCAGAAAAGGTAGCCTTTACTTTTCACGTCTTGGGGGTGAGTTGTCTAGTTTGAATTCAGCTAGAAGACGGCGATAAAGACATTTTAAAGCTTTAAAACTTACCGTGGTGTATTCAGGTCATCACAGCTGGCTAGGACCACCCACGTTGCTATATGTCAAAAGTGTAAGGTCGATTTGCCCATCGATGTTTGCTCTTGGATTACGACGTTAGTTATTGACTTAGGCTACACAAAGAAGGGGACATCGCAGTAACACGTAAATGATTTCTGTGTTTCTCAAATTGCTCGCGCGTCTGCTTATTGTTCTCCAATAACTGTTGTTATTGGCACTGACACACAGTACCTTTGTTCGTGTCTCCTAAGACACGTGTGTTGGCTTTCTTGAATAAAATATCAGTGCGATGCGGTACCTTATGCCACTGATGGTACTTTTTTAAGGTGAGTACTGTAGAAGCTCAACAAATGTGAAAAGTGACCATTGGTGTACCCAACACCAGTGATAAAAATTATGTGATAGCGTCCCCTTGTGACTTGAACGCATGACGTCGTCACTAGCTAAATAAAGGGCGGGCGGCCCTGAAAAAAAACACGTAATATTAACACCTGCTTTTAAAGCTCACCAAAAACACACAATCTTAAAAATCACAGCATATTCACGGAGTGCATGGTGATGAGTGGGGCGAAGCATCTGCCAGTTCATCCACGCTTCCGCCCGTCCGTTCGTTCTTGCTTCCGTCTGTCCGTGTGACTGTTCGTGCATCCGTCCATCTGTGCGTCCGTCCGTCCGTCACTCCGTGCATCTGTCCGTGCGTGTGTTCATCTGTCC